CAGGACTGTAAAGTTAACTCTTTACAACCATCCGGGATGTTTCTCAAGACACATTTTGAGGCTTGCATTAAGACTAGAATTATTCTATCTTAAAATGATATGCTAAGACTCATCATCCCCTACACCCTTAAGTCGTGGATGTTGGGTATTTTGTTCCAGCAGCAGAAAAATAGGACAGAAAAACTGGTACTAGAAGTGGAGTCACTGCTGTGGCAATACCTGACCATGTGGCTCAGAGGCCTTTGGAACTGATTTGTAAGAGAGGTTTGGAAACGTTTGGAAATATAACCTAGAGAAGCATTAACATGTGAGTAGTGCTTATTGTTGAGACTTGTCAGAGCACACTCCAGATTGCTGAGCGGAATGTGGGCAGTAAAGGCCAGGAGGTTCCTATTGGAAACAGTGATTCCATTGGCAGGTACACGAGAAACCATATGTATTACACTGTGGCAGAAAATTTGCCTAAAATTTGCTCCTGTCCTGTGACTTTGTGAAGGACTGAGATTAAGGGCAGAAGACTTACTAATCTATTGGAGGTAATTTCAAGGCAGTATAATATTCAAGGTATGGCTTGGAATGCATACCATGGCTACTTCCAGCCAGATTTACAGTGGACATCATGGGTGGGATGATGTGAAGCTTGGCCAGAAAGGAAACACCTCTAAAATTGGGGCAAATGACAGTGTGGTTGCTGAAAACCTTAACATTAAAAAGAAGCCTAGTACTTTGCTTCAGAAAGATAAAGATGACTTAAATGCATCCCAGGAAGCAACCTCTGTGTTTCTCAGGTTCAAAGGTGCAAAAGTGGAAAGCTGTGATTTGAAAAGAGAGTACCTCTGCCCCTGCTCTCAAGAAGACCCACTTCAGAAATTGTTTCCCCATAATGGATTTCACTGTCCTCAGCCATGCAGGCTGTGAGGGGCTACAGCCTCCATGGTGAAAGGGGACCAAGCCAGGGCTAGAGCTGACAGCAGATTTTGTTAACATCCATATGCTGGTGTTATATGCATTCAGAGTACAAGACTTATGAGGAAAAGGAAGATTCTGTTCAGTATTGAGAAGAAGGCTTATGATAACAGGCAGTGAGCCACTGATAGTG